TCAGAGAGTTTTTATTTACCCTACATTTGTTTATTAGATGTTCAATACAGAGACAAGATATTTTTTGTAACGAACTGTTTGGATTATTAAACTGGCATTTAAGAATAAATCTTTCTCAAAAAAGACGTGTTAAATGTAAAGGTTTAACATTACATTCTATCAAAAGGTCTGGTGAAGGAATAGATTTGAGGGCCCCTAGGACAATTCTTAAAGCCTTAATTAAACGAGATGTTGTAGCTGACCAATGCGAATTTTATAATTACATCTTTTTTTTATTCTTCTCATAATTTCTCTTTTCTATTTTTTTTCTACAGGACTTTCTACAGGATTTAAACACCTGTCGAGAAAGGCAAACAACTTATTGTTTTACATATCGGGTCTAGAGACAGATTTGTGAAAAACGGACTGCTTTTGTTTAAATCCACAAAAAATAGCGATTACCAACCTTTTTGAAGAGTGGCTGCAAAGGATTTTGCCAACTTTAGCTAAAACGGCAGTTATTGTCCTAGATAATGCGTTCTACCATAGCACAAAATAATAAAAGATAGTGCTATGTGAAAAACTAATATTCAAGAATGGTTGCAACAAAAAAATTTTACTAACTCTAGTAAAAAGTCATCCCATAGAACAAAAGTATGTGGTAGATAAAGTTATTAAGTCTTCAGGTAGATGTGTGCCTATATTGCTTACTTATCACTGTGAGCTAAACCAAATTAAGCTAACATGGGCACAATTAAAGGGTGAAGTTGGAAGAAAAAATACAACATATAAGTTAAATGACGTAAAAGTACTTTTCAGCAAAGCATTGAATAATTTTACATCGGATTCCTGGAAAAATGCTATCAACCATGTAGATGGCATCATATCCAAGACGAGAAAACTAGAATTTATTATAGAACAGCAGTTAGAACCACTGATTATTAATTCAAGTGACGGCGAATCTTCATCCTAGAAATCTGATTGTAATTAATTTATTAATTAAGAATAAAGGTAATCTCTTTTTGTCATATTTTTAAAACGCACAACTTGAAAAAAACTCCAATGTAGTCAAATTCGGGTCAATGCCGAAAAACAATACCTGAAATCGGGGACTTTTCAATAAGATTCGGGCCATTTTCTTAAACATAGAACTTTAATATCCTCATTTTATTGATTATTTATCTTGCATTATTTGCGGCTTCAAACTGATTACTGACATAAAATAAATTTTTGCATAAAATCAGATTGCAACGCAGCAAATTTGATTTTGGTACAAAGTACGTATTGGTTGGAAAATGAACATTCGATGGGTTTAATTTTAAACAGCGCGAACGAAATCAAGAAGTTTGTTTACTTAAAACGGTTGACAAAACCGAAAAAAAAACATTGATCAGCAATCATTACATCGTTGTATGCAGCACGCCTCGTAATACAGATGATTCCTGTGTATACATGAATTGTTATTGTTTTTAAATCGTCTTTTCAGAAGACCATAATTAAAATACATAAATTTCAATTTGATATGATTTTCGGACTAGTTGGTCACACTATTCATACAACATAATCAATAATAAATTGTAAATATCATAACTCCATTATTACGGCAACAAATAGAATTAAGTCTTCGATATGTATATTAGGGTTTTACCGCATTCAATGCGATAATTGTATCTCTCTTTTGGACCTAGTGTAAATCGAACTTGTGACGTTGGGAACTCCAACTCGTAACCAGCGCATGGCGTTCACGTGATAATTCTATCTGTTCGGCGGTTCAACTATATTAAATATTTAATTTGTGAAAAAATAAAGAAATTTATAAACGCGTGGTTATATTGATTGTTTAGACTTGAATGGTTTTGATAACTCTCTCACTATAGTCCCTAGAAAGTGAGGAGAGCAGTAAAATACAACATAACAGAACAGACTGGCGTACTTAACATGGCAACTTTAGACACGGTTGGTGTAAATAAACATTACTCAAACATTAACCTATTATACAAATTTAAATTATTTATATTAAGCATATCATGATCCTGACATGTATCCTGAAGGCATTCAGGATATAGTTTTGTTTCCTACAAGTTTCTTTTCGTTTTTCCACGTATGTGCGTTACTTCTTTCCTTTCGAATGTCCTTTTCTGAACGTGATATTGAACATTGATTTTATATAAAATGAAGTTATTCACTTTTTAAATTATAGTAACAATGTATTAACGTAAACCTAATATTTTCTGCAATGTAGGACGCCCGTGCAGGTAAAAATATGTAAATAATCTCTTTTCGGCAAACGCGAGTCCGCTGGAAGTCCAAAATAAGTCTCTTAACTTTTCTCGTGGCTCTATGTAAATTATTTCTTGTGGAGTGTGCTACTATGGCAAGTGAATATTAAAAGTTTGTCGGGAATTTGGAATGTAAATTAGTGTTTTCAACTACTTTAATTAGAAAGGAAGTACAATTTACCTAGCGATAGAGTTAAAAACAAATTTTCAACAGCTCTTGTGCTTCCTTCAATTATTCCGCAATGACGATGTAGAGGCGATTTTTTTTAAAGGTTTTGGTTATACTCTCGACATTTAGATAGATTTTTACAGAAAAACCTTATTAATTAATTAAAGAGGCAAACATTAAAATAGTGTAAGATATGATAATAATAATTTATTCAACAATCAAACAAAATTTGTTTCAATAATTAAAAATAAATGAATAAATTAACCCGAAGGTCTCCGAGAAGTGTGGGAACACTTGTTTCGGTAAATATAACATACAGTAAATAAAAATACAATATAATATACTAAACTATACATATATATATATATATATATATATATATATATATATATATATATATATATATATATATATATATATATACATATATCGTCGGATAGATTTCCGCGGTCAGATGAATGAAAATCACTAGGTTCTCGGAAAGAACCGCGTTGAGAATTTAATGCTCGACGTTTCGGCTCCCATTTTGGAGCCATTATCAACAGGGATACGGTTCAGTTCGAGTTCGGGGTCTTAATCTGCCTACTCCCCTCAATCGAAACGTACCAGTATCTTGTTCTGTATTATAAATACGAGAACTGTCTCTCGGCACTGAGGTCTCAATCTACCTACTCCTCAGTGTCGAGTGTCAACCGGTCTTACCCTGTGACGCTGCTTTTATACTAGCTTTACGCGCGGGAACGGTATGGGCATAGTGAAGATGGTTTTGATCTAGCACTAGCCCAACATCACATTCAAACAGGCCACAAAATAGACTTCGAAAAAGCAAAAACCATTGCCCCCATCCGCTCCTTAAAATCAAGAATCATTCGTGAAGCCATCGAAATCGAAAAACGGCCTAACAGCTTAAATACGCGCGACGACGCAAAACGATTGCCGCCAACATGGCGACCCCTACTTCAGCGACCTCCCGCCCACACCGTTCAGGCCACGTCAGTTCAGACCACGTCAGCCCATACCGTTCCCGCGCATACAGCGAGTATAAAAGCAGCGTCACAGGGTAAGACCGGTTGTCTCTCGACACTGAGGAGTAGGCAGATTGGGACCTCAGTGCCGAGAGACAGTTCCCGTATTTATAATACAGAACAAGATACTGGTACGTTTCGAGTGAGTTGAGTAGGCAGATTGAGACCCCGAACTTGAACCGAACTTCAAAATGGGAACCGAAACGTCGAGGATTAAATTCTATATATATATATATATATATATATATATATATATATATATAGTTGTTTTCCGGGTTTGACTCCGCGTTAAGTAATTTTGGTTTTTAGAAAAACCATTGTTTTGACGACGTTTTCGGCAAGGTCACACTTGCCATTGTCAAGTCAGATTAGTTCTGCTTCGTCTTGATGTTTCAGGAGAACTGTTCTCCTGAAATTATCTCTCCTGTTCTATTAGTTCTCCTGTTGTATTAATTTTATAGTCAAAATATACAATCAAAACAATATATATATATATATATATATATATATATATATATATATATATATATATATATATAAGATAAATTTAACCATAAAAACAAGCAGATTGAAAATTTAGATACAACAATCAAAGATGTATAATTAAATTAAACTTAGATACTAATAAGTTCTTAACGACATCTGCAAATACACAATTATGTTCTGGTAAATATGCAAAATAAAATAAACAATACAATGTATACAAAACAATAATATAGGTATACTGCCTCTTATACCAACTTTCTCTAAGGTTTGTAAAAGTTTACTATGGCTGATAGTATCAAAAGCTTTGGCCAAATCTAGAAATACACATAAGCAAACTTTATGATTGTTTAAAGCTTTATACACTTTTGATCTTAGATTCAAAACGGCATCTTGTGTGGAAGTATTTAGCTTAAAACCAAATTGCTTAGCAGAAATTAATTTATACTTTTTGATGTATGCTGTAAGTCTAGTATTCAATATTAATTCAAATATTTGAGACATGTGTGGAATAAGCGATATACAATAGGTCGGTATTTTAAAGCAAGAGTTTTGTCTTCAATTTTGTATATTGTTATGACTACTGCTATTTTGAAGGCTTTGGGCCATATTCCTTCTTCCATACATATATTGATAATGTGAACCAATGGTTCGAGTATGAATGGTGAAATTGTTTTCAAACATTCTGAATTAATATCGTCAATGCCAGTTGCCTTTTTACTTTTCAGTTCATTTATTATTGTTTTTATTTCAAATGTATTTGTAGGTAGTAAAACCATTGAGTTTGTCAAGGAGGTATATTATCATACACCTGGCGGGAATGACTAATGATTTGTTCAGCGACGATACAATATTTAAAATAAATTTTATTACAACCAATAATTTTGGCTTTATCTCATATAAATAAGTTGATCCATTTATGTTACTAATTTATTTTAGACAAAACATCATAATACCCCACGATAAAAATATATTACTTATTAATGAGTATCATAACCTTTAGCCTAATAGTGGAAAAATATTTACTTTTCGAGCTACACACTTACACTGGCGAACTAATTATTTTATAGAGTCAACATTTTTGTTTAAAATGATTCTGCAACTAAAAAAATTACAAGCATGTGTGTAGTATTTGTTTTTTTTTAAGCATTAGTTTTAAAGGTTTTATTAAATGAGTAGACTTAGTGTAAGTTGCCGAGTGAGAATTTCATTTGGTTTCGCCGTATAATGGCACAAAGTACCGTAGTGGAAACTTATACATTGAAAAATGATGTTAAGGATGAAGGTGAAGAAGTTAAATTACCATTCATCAAAAGGTTAACTGTGAGTAATAATAAAGGTACGAAACTCTTAAATTTTGATATCTTTGTATCAAGATGATTGTCTGTGTTTGTTAGATTGATTCATATTATATTAATATTGTTTTTAAGCTATTTTCTTGTAGCGTCTACATGCAATTTACTATTTTTATTAAGAATAATCCACAATTTTACTCTAAAACAAGTTTATTTTGACGTTTCAAAATACAAATACACCTTCCCTATACCAAGTCAATTTTAAAACACTTAGTACCAGGTGAACGAGTATCAACTCAATGGTCTCTGTTAATATAAGCTCCCGTACTAATGTAATATTCAAGATATAAGAAAAAGAAGAATTAAGTTTTTAAGGTTATGTCAATGTTCTCAAATATGTAATAACGGTTACACATGTTTAATTAATATTTTCAGTTTTCTCAGGCTAATAGTTATTGTTTAATAAACTTTTACAATTCGACAGTATAGTTATTTTATTTATCAGGTTATGGTTGCCCAGACACGGTATTACGGAATTTGAAAACTAGCCTGTCGTTCACACCGGTGCGTGGTAAAATATATACGTCCATGTGGTAAAAGTTGTTTCACGTTTAAGTCGTGAGTTTCCCGTGTTTATTTTTCGTTACGTTCGAGTCGTACAATTATAAAATAAACATTTAGTGAAGTGCAAAAATGGCCTCAGCTGTGAAAATTGATTCTGGGAATATTACTAAATTTGATGGGTCAAATTTTCAACTATGGAAATTTAGTGTGACCATTTTGTTTAAAGCAGAGAAGCTGCTACCAATTGTGACTGGGACAGTTAGAGAACCAGAAGACCACACTAGCAGTGACTGGAAAGAATGGGATGACAAAAATTCAAAAGCACAGGTAATTTTGTTATCTACTATATGTCAAGATCAAATACAACATTTGATAAATTGCGAAAATGCTTCAGAAATGTGGTCAAGACTGATCACAATACACGAACAAAAGACAGAAATATCTAGAGAGTTGCTATGGCAAAAATTTTATGAATATAAAATGCATGAGAATGCAAAAGTTGCAGAGCATATATCAACAATAGAATTATTAGTTAGACAGTTAAAAGATGTTAAAGAAACTATTAGTAATAGTGCTGTTTGTTCCAAAGTAATTAATAGTTTGCCTCCTAGATTTAATGCCTTTCGTACAGCCTGGGACTCTGTAGCTAGTGATCAGCAAACTTTTGAAAATTTAGCAGCAAGATTGCTTAAAGAAGAAACTAGAATGAATAATGATGACTCTGAAATATCTCGTCTTGCTTTACAAGTAGAGGCTTTACAAAGTAAACTGGAAGCCACCAGTAAAAAGAAAACAAATATACAGGACTTAAAGAATTCCACCTGTAATTATTGTAAACGCAAGGGACATTGGGTTAGAGAGTGTAGAAAGAGAATACATGATTCCAAAAATAAAGATAAAAACAAGTCATCAGCAAGTAATATAGCATCAAGTTCAGCTTATATATGTGATATTTCTTCCATGTACTTGTCAACCTCCAGTGTAAATAAAAGTGAGTGGATATGTGATTCAGGAGCAAGCCTACACATGACTGGTGAAAAATTGTTGTTTTCAAAATTAGAATCTCTATCTGAACCTATGTTTGTTAGAATAGCAAACGACAAGCTGATTCCTGCAGAAGGTAAAGGTGTTATTGAAATACAGGCATTTGTCCAAGGTGAGTGGTATGATCGTACTATAAATAATGTCCTATACATTCCTGAACTTAGTCACAGCTTATTTTCAGTGGGAGCTATGACAGATAAAAACTTTACCTATCATTCTCATAAAAACAGGTGTCAATTTCTAGAGCCAAATGGAAACATTTCATGTGTTGGAGTACGTAGAGATAATCTGTGGATCATGAAATTTAGAGTTAAGCCTATTGTAGAATGTAATTTAGCTTGCAAATCATCAATAAAGTTATGGCATGATCGCCTAGGGCATATCAACTTCACTACAATTAAGAAAACAGCTAATTTGGTTGACAATATGAGAGTTGACAACAAAGAAGAATTTTTCTGTGAGACATGCCAGTATGGGAAGCAGTCAAGAAAGACCCATAAAAGTCTTACAAGAAGCAGATCAGACAAACCAGGTGAAATGATTCACACAGATGTATGTGGACCAGTAAACATTTCTTCTCCAAGTGGATCAAAATATTTTGTTTTATTTAAAGACGATTGTAGTGGTTACTGCAGTGTTTATTTTCTAAAGCACAAGTCAGATGTTCTTAACAAGTTTAAAGATTTTAAAATACTGATTGAAAATCAAACTGGCAATAAGATTAAGATTTTAAGAAGTGACCAAGGTAAAGGAGAATATATCAATAATGACTTTCAGGACTTTATCAGGAAGAATGGAATATTACATGAATGTTCAGCTCCTTATACACCTCAACAAAATGGCCGCAGTGAGAGGCAGTTAAGGACAATTGTTGAAAGTGCAAGAACTATGCTTATCAACAAAAATGTGTCACAAGAATTGTGGACCGAAGCTGTAAATACTGCTGTATATGTTCTTAATCGAACAGCTTCAAGTCAAGTGCAAAACATGACTCCATATGAAAAGTGGTTTGGGAGAAAACCAGATTTAAAGCACATCAGAGTTTTTGGCAGTACAGCTTACATGTTGATACCATCACAGTTTCGTAAGAAGTTTGATTCAAAATCGAGAAAATTATTGTTCGTTGGATATGATGGATATTCATCAAATTATAGACTTTGGGATTGTGAGAAAAGAAGAATTGAAGTGAGCTGCAATGTAAATTTTAATGAAGATGAAACAATTAAAAATAAGAAGGAAATTTTTACATTAAAATTTGAACTCTTAGATGATAATGAAGAAAGAGACAATGATGATATGTATGCTATTCAAGAAAGTGACAATGAAGAGAGTTTAGACATGTCACAAGGTAGTAGGTCTCAAGCAACAGATCATGATGATGAGGATTTTGATTGTAATCTGTTCTATGATGCCAATGATGATAATTTTAATGATAGACAGCTACGGAACAGAAATACACTGTCTAAGCCTGACTATTATGGTGTAGCAAACTACTGTGACATAATTGAACCCATAAGTTATGAAAGTCCAATAAAGTGTGAGGACTCTAGCAAGTGGCAACAAGCAATGCAGGAAGAAATAGATGCCCTCAAGTTTAATAACACATGGAACTTGGTGAAATTGTCCAATGGTGCAAAAGTGATAGACAATAAGTGGGTTTATCGTGTTAAGACTGACTCAGACGGTAATCCTGTTCGTTATAAAGCACGTCTGGTTGCACGCGGTTTTATGCAAGAACGTGGAATAGACTATGAAGACACTTTCGCGCCGGTTGTGCGGTATGACTCAGTGCGGATTTTGTTATCGTTAGCAGTGGAAAAGGACCTTAGACTTGCTAATTTTGATGTACAGACTGCATTCCTATATGGTGACCTACCAGAGTGTGTGTACATGAAGCAGCCAACTGGTTTTGAAAGTAAGAAGTCACACAACTTAGTGTGTAAATTGAATAAAAGCTTATATGGACTTAAGCAATCACCACGATGCTGGAACCAGAAGTTTGTATCCTTTCTTAATAAATTTGACTTTAGACAATTAAAAAGTGATCAATGTGTTTTTGTTGGTAATTTTGCAAATTCTGAAATTTATTTAGCAATTTATGTTGATGATGGACTTGTCATGTCAAAATCAGAAAGAGCTATTAATGAACTTTTAGAAACTTTAAAGCAAATATTTAAAATAACTGTAAATTTAAATAGTAAATTACATTTTGTTGGACTTGAGATTGAGCAAGATCTTAGTGCAGGTACAATTGCTATTCATCAACATAATTATATAGAAAAACTTCTTGTTAAATTTAATATGACTAATGCTAACCCATTAAAGATTCCTGCAGAGCCTAGTGTACCTTTGTCTAAAGGAAATATTTTAAATTGTAATAAATCTTGGCCATATCGTGAGGCTGTTGGTTCACTAATCTTTCTGGCAACCACCAGTCGCCCAGATATTACATTTGCAGTTAATCAGGTGAGCAGATTCTTTAATGCTTGGAGTGATGAACATTGGAAAGCAGTAAAACGAATTTTTAGATATCTAAAATATACTGCTCATTATAAAATTGTGTACAGAAAAACTACACAAATCAAGGTAATAGGCTACACTGATGCAGACTATGCTGGCTGCCTGGATACAAGAAAATCTACTAGTGGATATGTATTTATACTAGGCAATGGTCCTATTACCTGGAAGAGCCAAAAACAAAACATAGTGGCACAGTCAACTACAGAGGCCGAATATGTGTCCTTGGCTTTTGGTGTTAGAGAAGCTTTATGGCTTAGAAATTTTTTAAAAGAGATTGGAATTGATGTCTCACCTGTCAACATCTTTGTTGATAATCAATCTGCCATTAAGCTAACACAGGCACAACAATTTCATAGCAGAACAAAGCATATTGATATTAAGGTTCACTTTGTTCGAGATGAATGTGAAAACAAGAATATCTGTGTAAGCTATGTCAATACAAGTAATCAGTTAGCGGACTTGTTTACAAAAGCATTGTCAAAGACAGTTTTTAACAATTTATTGAATAAGTTAAATTTGTCAATTTAAATTATGTATTTGTTAATTTGTATTAGATCTTTGCTTTCATGTCTTTTGTATTAGGTCTTTGTATTCAAATCTTGAATAAGTGGGAGTGTTAATATAAGCTCCCGTACTAATGTAATATTCAAGATATAAGAAAAAGAAGAATTAAGTTTTTAAGGTTATGTCAATGTTCTCAAATATGTAATAACGGTTACACATGTTTAATTAATATTTTCAGTTTTCTCAGGCTAATAGTTATTGTTTAATAAACTTTTACAATTCGACAGTATAGTTATTTTATTTATCAGTCTCTTATAGTAAACATCATTTGTACTAATATTGGGTATTTGCAGATTTTTTGCAAAATCCATTCATATAGCCTCTGTGTGTCCATTTTTTCTACCAGCTATTCTCGCAGCTTGGTTGTTATTATAAAATGCGTGGGATTTAAGTTTATGTAGCGTTTTTTTGTATCTAGTTGCTAAATATCAGCATTTAATTAATTTATTTTCTTCAAATATTTAGTTAATAGACATTACTTCTCAAGACTTTTAATTTTGTTAAATATTCTTTATAAGAACTATACAAATAGGTCCTTGGAAAACCAAAAGAAATATTAAATTTAGTTGAAAAAATACTTCTATACGTTTCGTTTGAAGTATGAATGACTGGAAATTTGTCTACGTACATTGTGTACATTTTGTTAACATTTAAATCCTGAGATTAGTATAATTTTGACAAGTTTTTTAAACTATAATGACTCTTTCTGCCTCTGAAAGACCCTATATGCTGCAGTATACAGTTTTTCTGTTTCCATAGAAACTTGATGACGATGGTTTCCATGTCTTTCTCAGTATCTTTTGGAACCTGACTAGTTAAATTTAGTCACTTTTGTAGAACTTCTAACTTTTTTTTTCCAATTTCATGTAATGCCAAAAAGGCATTCTGACATACTGGAACTTCTTGTGTTTTGTCATTTACATTATAACGGATTCTATAACTAAAGGCGGAATCACGAAAACGTGCAGTCCTCTGATACTCGTGGTCTTCGTTGCTTCATCATTATCAGTTGGCGCTACAGCCCTTCGTGAGCCTTGGCCTGCTTCAAAACATTCTTCCATCCTTCCCTATCGAGTGTCTGCCTTCTCCAGCCCCTCACTTCAATCTCCCTAACATCTTCCTGTACATCGTCCAGATATCTGAGTTTAGGTCGCCCCATTCTTCTTCCGATCGGCCTGTTTAGCATAGTTATTTTAGTGGGATCACACTAATCTATCTCCATAACGTGGCCCACCCACCTTAGGCGGTTTATTTTGATGGTCTTCACAATATCTGTATCACCAAAAAGTCTATAGAGTTCAAAGTTATATCACCTTCTCCACAGACCCAGTTCGTTTACTCCGCCATATATGGTCCTCAATACTTTGCTTTCAAAGATTCGTAGTGACTCTTCATCTCGGGTCGTCATTGCCCATGTTTCCGATCCGTATGTGAGCACTGGGCGTATTATTGTTTTATAAAGTTTGCACTTTGTTGCTCTTGACACTATTAAGTCTCAAGGACACAATTTTGTATGCTGTATTAAGAAGGGAAATCCTTCTAAAGTTGGAACACTTCAGAACGTTTGACATTTGACATTTGACTGGTGCTAATCTCAAAGAAGAGCTTACAGCAGTCCGAGGTGTGGTTACCAGCGTTTGGACAATCAGAAAGAGACTGAAAGCAGCTAACCTGACATCAAAAAGGACAACTGTTGGTCCTAAGCTAACTGCAGCCCAGAAGCAAAGACGACTAAAATTTACTCGCGAACATCGTATTATTGTCGGACGAAAGTAGGATCTGCCTACATGGCAACTACAAGGGGCGTCGAGTCTATAGAAGGCCAGGGGAACGATTTGCTCAATGTTGCGTACGAGAAATTGTGTCATAAGGAGGCAGTTCTTGTATGTTTTGGGCAGGCATTTCCATGGATTGAAAAACCGAGCCGATTTTCGTGCCTGGTGGAGGACGTGGAGGAGGTTTAACGGCGGATCGTTACATCAAAGATATTTTGGAGGAACACGCGGTTCCATACGCGGGATTTATTGGTAATGCCTTTACTTTATTGCATGATAATGCACGAAGTCATACCGCACGAGTCACCACCACCTATCTGACTGAGATCGGTATACCTACAATAAATTGGCCTGCGTTGAGTGCGGATATAAATCCAATAAAGCATGTTTGGGATAAGCTTAAACCAAGGGTCCGGAGCAGAAATCATGCACCAAGGAGCATAATGGAATTTGAGAGCTGTGCTTAATGATGAATCGGAAGCAATGCCTCAAGAATTTATTAAAAAAGTTATCCGATCCATGCGAAATCGATTGGAAAGTGTAATTAGGAATAGGGGTGGTAATGTCAGATACTGAAAAACAAAAAAAATCATTTTCTAATTGATTTCTCTGTTCATTACATCTTTTTTGGGATAATTTCAATGATGAATATTTGAGAAACTTTGTTCATATTGCATATTGATTTCCAAATAATGAAATAGCAGTTTTTGTAAGTTCAATAATAAAGTTACTGTTTGCACATTACATCTTGTTATTTTCATACTTCTTAAATTAAAACAAAAGGTGTAATCTCAAATATCGCTTTTGAGTCGATTGTTTTGCACTCAAGTGGATCATTTTGGATCTAATACATTTAAAATTCATAAGATATTGTTTTGCTGTAAGCGCAATATGAACTTGCTGCGCAATACTGTTCATAAAAGGTTATTTTGACCAATTTCAGAAACATCGAATAAGAAACACCAGCTAATAGATCGGAACATTTTAATCTCAGTAAGCCAAAAAAAAGAAAACTTGAAATTTTGGACTTAATACAGTTTTACTCTGAGGTACGGATATATGGTCACCCCAAAAGAGATTTAAATAATCTAAATGAATTTTAGTTCTGAAACATGCCTTTAAATCTATAAAAGATATTTATAAAATCACACTCCCACTTCTGCGTTGACGTGAAAATGGCGTGACAGAAGTTCAGAATTGCTCATAGACAAATAAACAGTATGGACCTGTATCAGAGAAAAGTCATTTTATATTATGTCTATGGAATAGATATAACCTTCTTCCTTCTACACATAATTTGATAAGTTACGTCAAAATAAGAGTATCTTTAAATAAAGGTTCTCTGGCCAGTAATAATAAGGACAGTAATAAAAGATGCAAACTGAGCATGGGCAGATGTCAAATTAAAGTTGCTTTTATTACAGGTCGACATAACACACCTCTTCAGTAACTCTCTATCAACGGTTTTAATTTAACTGTATTCTAACTGTCAAATATAATTTAATTAGAAACAACGATTCCTTGTCAGTGGTTGTCACATTTGCTTTTATGGTAAATAATCATCCAAATAATAAATAAATTGGGATGTAAAAAATTCTTCATGGTTAAGTCTCTAATATCGAGATGTGCAATTTGGTTTTTAGATTCGCCGTTTGGAAAACGACATGTCGAGGCTCTCAGCTTCTTCTTGGCTGTATTTCTTGGATTTTCTATAAGGGTAAATTTATCTCTAACTATAGTAGCGATGACGGATCCAAATGCAAATGAAAATAAGGATATACCGGTAGGTAAAACATGTATTATTTATAGTGTTAACATAACTTGAGATCGTAAATTACATTAAAATTCTTAAAATTATGCACCTGATTTTAAAGGTAAATATAATTGGAAGTTATAGATCTATGATAATTAATTTTAAGGTACCTTATATTTGTTAGCGATACGCAATGCAGATAAATAGTTCCTTACTTCATAAAATTGGGTAGGCATGGCTTATTAAGAAGACAAACTACAAGTCGCATTTACTAGCATGTCAGAAAAGTATCTTTTATAGACCGTTGGATTTCAATACAAAGTTTGACCATGATTTTATACCATATGCTTTTTTGTCTACTAAAATTGTGGGATTTTATCACCATTTAGAGTTGTTTCTTGCTAGAACCAAGAAATATTTAAGTCATGGACTAAGTTTCTTTCTCTATTATATACAAAAAGTTGTTCTTTCAAAACATGACCTGCACTGCAAATAAGCATTGTTTCTCATTACCCTCGAATGATGTTACATCAGACTATTACTGGCCCTGAACAAAGAAAGTGTTGTTACTAAGTCTAAGAGGACACAAAGTTTACTATCAGAAGGCTGTTTTTACATACCAGAGTTAGTATATTGTGGACATTTACCTTTAAATAAAACAAAATGCAACGATTATCAGCATCTGAAACAATTTTGCTCTTTAACGTTTTAAGCATATTTTAATGCACTGCCACATAGTAAAAACTTTTTATTGTATCCCTTACTAATAATCTTCTGCTGTATTTGTAGCTTTATATAATTAACAGGAGCAGATCCGTATGATATTACATTTGACAATAATGACAATAAGGTCGATGACCTTATCTGTGTTTTTAGTTTCGTTTTAATACACGTTAATAGATCCTCATCCATTTAGCCTGGGATTTAATGCCTGAAATTTCATGATTTTATATATATATATATATATATATATATATACATTTATATATACATATATATATATATATATATATACATTTATATATACATATATATATATATATATATATATTTACATATATATATATATATATATATATATATATATATATATATATATATATATATATATATATATATAAATGTAATATAAAAAGTCTGAGGTGCGCCAAGCAATTAATTCAATTTATTTAAATGATGCAGTTATGATTCTATCACACTATCTAATTCTCTTATCTCAGAGTTATACTCGTGCTTTAATATCTATGCTTTACATATGATAGGTCATGTTCAAATAACAGTGGAATAATAAAAAACATATATGGTAAAACATTATATATTGAAATAAAAATATATTGAAATAAAATTCACACTCAAATATCTTAATCAATAAAAAATATCTTATATAATGATTATCAAAATTTTGTTCAACGTACGTGAACCTTCAAAAATTTATGGTATATACAATATAAATTAAAATTTTAAATCAAAATTGTTGTTCTAAATCTCCTGATCAAAATATTCCTATCTTTTCTAAAGCAATTGTTAAAAAAATGTGTTAATAAAGAAAAAACTGACGAATAATAAAACTATCTCTCTGATGATGAGTTGTCCAAATCCTTGTTCCTTGTAGCCTACACTATCTACTCTTAGCAGTCCCCTAGGTAATCAGAAATCTTACAACAAATTGTTGCGAGCCTATCGTCTTTAATGACCTTTAAATGTACGTATCGTTCAGATGATGCCCCTTCTCCTCTCAATAAACTGAATCTCTCGTTCTGGCCTGAACAGTGACTCTTGGAATATAAGTAGAAAAATATAACTTACAATATTTTACTGGATCAGCTTCTGTCAGATACACTTACTCCGCGAAAACTTACAAACATTCACTTCTACTGCTTACTACCTCCGGGGAACCACCAGAGAACAACGACTGTTCGCTTTGCACCCTTGGAAAGCAACTGATTATCTGTTCTCCCTCAAAAATCTAGCTAAACTCTCATTCCTACATACCTATCCCACTTTTTTCAATCTCCTCCAATCAAAGCTCTTCACATTTATCCCCATCTACCATTTAGATAACAAACAACAATTTTACCTACAATTATAAATTTCCTAAAAACTATTAATATGCTAATCAGTTTCTACAAATTCTTAAGAACTAACGGAGAAATATATTTTCTAAATATTCTATTCTATTGTCTTATTCACTGAACAAATCCATTTGGAAAACCCGCTCGCATTCTTCATGATTTCACTAAGCTCACTCACGTCACTCAAATATATTTTACAAAGAAAATAATTTATGCATATGTTTAAATTTTGTTTACTACAGGTAATCCAGGATAATGGACTTTAATTTTTTCGAAATATCTTTAATAGTTTATTAGTTGAATTATTTGAATTATTATATTTTGTACTTTGAAATATATTAAGTGCAAACCATTCTTATTTTCAATTTTACATAGCATAACAATATTTATATTATATATTAATATTTATAATTTCAGACATTCGAGTGGAAAAACAGAAACGTAATCCTTTCATCATTCTTTTGGGGTTACGTCATTCCACAGATAGGAGCAGGCTGGCTAATGACCCGATACGGACCAAAGTGGTTTCTGATAGGCAGCATGTTTTTGGGATCTGCAGTAGGATTTTTAATGCCACCACTGGCCAGTGTATGGGGATCCACGTCCGTCATAGTCTTCCGCGCTATACAGGGACTATGTCAAGGTTTCATCCTCCCTTCAGTGCCCTGCTTCATGGGAAACTGGGTGCCGGTAGGTGAAAGGGGGAGGATTGGGACCTTTGTATACGCAGGTTTGTTAAAATTAAGAAAGTTTAGACATAGGCATAGCTTTATATTAAAAACTTAATTTTTTTCCTTCATAAATTGTTGGGAATTTGTTACCAAAAATTGAGTGCCATAATTATATTGTACAAGAATTGTTAAATTATTCTTTCTCAAGTTCTTGTTTGGCTTTAAAAAGTAAGTTTTTTATTTCGTGTTGGTATAAATACTTTTTTAATTATATTTAAGATTTTGAACTGAATTACAAACATCAAAGTAATTCAGTCGACACCTATATTAATAGCTTTAAATCAATGTAATCTTGAAATACAAAAATAAATTTGTGTTTTTAACCTTTTTTGTTATTTATTCGATTATTCTAAAAACTGGGACGGGTATGTAGATAAAAATGGCTCTAAATAATTTAACAAAGCTTCAATATTTTCAAGGTAAAAAGTAATATTTCTTTATTGGTACTTAACTTATGCTGTACATTTGGATTAGTGTCTAGGTTTGTAATTGCCAATAATGGACAAATATCATTTAACTCGCGAAGCGCAGTGACCTGCTATTGGGATGCTTCAAGCTAGCAGAAGTCAAAGAGGCGATGCTGAGGTCATCCACAAGAACATAAGTGCCATCAATCGTTTTGTGGTTAAAGTTTTAAGAAACTGGTGATGTTGCTGAACGTAATACAGGCCGTACAAGTATAACCAAGCAAGTTGAACTATTTAATTAGGTTGCAAGCTTTGCGGGATCTCCCTGTAACTGCATTATAATTACAAATAAGGCTATAAGAAATCCATCAGGTTTTTGTAAGTGGCCAAACCATTAGAAACAGACTGCATAAAGTATGGTTAAATTTCCCAAAGAGCTATGAAAGTGCCTGTGTTATCTAGAGGAAATAGCGTTAATCGATTTCATTGGGCACAAAAACACGTAAATTGGGTTCCAAATGGGTTCCATATGGGTCCCAAATTGGATTTGCATCAAATACAAAACGGACAAGAATTTTAAGAGGATTTGGCAATGTTTAACGATTAGCCACAGTGTAGGAGATTCATAGACAGCAAGGCTGGAGTATAATGATAGAAGGAGGCATCACTGTTGGTGAAACAATCAACCGCATTTGTCTGAATCGGTTTCTAAATACAAGTTTACCGTGATATCATTATGGAATCAAACTGGTCTTTAATTTTAATTAATGCACAAACATGTGAGTCCGCATACTGCCATGGGTCATGCGAATATTTTTTAAGATAATAAAATTGTGGTTTTACCATGGCCTGCACATTGCACAATCACCAGAGTTAAACTCAATTAAGCTTGTATGGATAATATTGGACAGACGCATTTCATAACAAACTATTGCATTCAACACAAGACAGCAACTGTTTGAAGACCTTTCAATGGAGTAGATCAGAATACCGCAGCCATACATTGATCATCTGATTATGAATTTGCCTTACAGATGTAGGACAGTAGTCAATAGACTTCGGCAAATATGCAAATAAAAATGTAGAAAATATGCGCATAAATATGCACGTGTTTACCCGAAAATATGCAAATATTTTACAAAATATGCATACAAATAAATAAAAAAATCGTAAAATAGTAACAATTTTATTTAAAAAAAAAAAGTGTACATAACTAAATATTTCCTACTATTCATTAAGATTTACATTTATTTCAAGTAACTACTTCATTTTTAAGTATGAATAAACTTATTTAGAATTATGGTAACAATAAATGACCAAGTGGTGTTCAAAATTTTTCAACAAAAACTTGTGGCTTCTGTCTGAGTACATATATTTATATATGGAAAAACTTCGTTCAACATAAACTGATGTAACGGGAGCATTTTTCAAACTAACCAAAACATTTGGTTCTAAATTAATTGTTTCCGAAATATTTCCAGCTAGAACACTGACTACTTCAGAAAGAATATGGTAACCTTTATTTTTTTCCATAGTAGCTTCAAATTTTTTTAAAATATTATTTCCAATATTACCTCTAACGTTCCGACAACATGACGCAAATTCTTTTATTAATGCTGTACTTTCGAACAATGACAGTTTTGGTGATTCTAACTGAGTAATTGTTTTTTGAACAAAACTAAAATTTGATTTTATAAATGAAAGTTCTTGTTGAAGCAAGTTACTCTGAAAAGTTTGTTTAGAATCCAAAAGAGATTGGGAACTTTTATCTGTTAACGTATCAATTATGTTCTTTATTTTAACAAAATGATCTGCATAAAAATTAGCTGCTTCTAACCATGTTCCCCATTGCGTTAAAATAGGTTGTGGTGGAAAAGGAATGTTAGGTAGCATTTCTTTATAAAGTTGAATTCTTATAGGAGATTTAAGAAATACTTTTTTGACACTGGATATCATGGTATTTACAAGAGGAAACTTTTTTCGTATTTCCTCTGCAACTCTGTTTAATCCATGCGCTACACAAGTAACATGTACTAAATCTGGGAAAAATTTTTTTAAATTTTTTCCTGCTTTCACCATATAAGGAGCAGCATCCGATAAAATAAGCAGTAATTTATTAGAAGGAATAGTTGTCGGAAGAAAAAAAGTTGCTAATGTTTCTTGTATAAAACGCGAAATTGTTAAAGCATTTGTTTTCTCAAGTTGCTGGCATGAAATAAGATGAGATTTTGGTAAGGTATCTTGTTTAAGAACATCAATCAATAAATTAGCAATATATTTTCCTGAGGAATCAGTGGTTTCGTCTACAGATATGTAAAAATAATTATCTGCAATTTCTTCCTTAATATTAATTAACACCGACGAGTATAGCCCGTTCACATTATTTCTTCTTAGAGACCGATCACTTGGAACATTAAGTTTGCAATATTTTTTTAGAAACGAACTAAAATTTACATTTGCTAATTTTGAAAGCGGTATGTTTGCAGACACTAATACGAGACACAAGTCTTCATTAAAAGTTTCTTGCTCATCTAATTTTTTTGAAGTAGATTGGAAACATTTAGCCATTGAAGTTTGATGTTTTCCTCCTATTTTTCCTTTTTTTGCAATGTGTGAAGCAGTTCTCACATGTTGGTCTATCTGAAATTTCTTCTCACATGCTATCTATAAATAAAAATAAAAACCTTTATTTTAACCCAACCTTTTAATCCACAAATTAGTTTTTTTTACTAACCATTAGTACATCATATAACTTATTTTAAAATTCAACAAAAGTTTTTTTTTGTTAATTCAATTACAATAAAAATAATTGTGTTTTAGAATGGCTGACTTCATAAAAAAAAGTAAAGGTGAAAAATTTTTCTAAATACACACCATTGTATTGTACCATGGACAATTTTTTCTCACTAAAGGAAGCTATTTTTCATTTAAAAACAACCTACGAGTACTAAATTTCAAGTAAATACGTTTATTGGTTTTAAACTTATTGTTGTTATTGACTAAAAGAATTTAATTGTTTTTTTAATTGTAACACCCTGTATCTCGAAAAGTAAATAAGTTTGACCCCTCATTAACTATATCGTTTTGTTCAATTTTTCGAGTATCTACAGTCAAACGTTGTAAGTGTCATTTGGAAACACCCTGTATGTATGAAATATTAGATATTTAATAGAAAATATTAGATACTTACAATTTTGCCACAGACTGAACAGTAGATTTTTTCCATATCCATAGACAGCTCTTTATAAGGTTTAATCCAAGTTGAAGCACTGGTTGTTTTAGGCATTATAAAATCGCAACCTCCCTTTTTGTTACGCACAAAGAGTGTTTACGCTTTGAATATCAAAACAAAAATGATTTACAAATCTGAGCATCAAATTAGAAATGTTTAGGTACCTAAGTCAATAAACTGGGACTGGGAGATTTTGGAAAATCCCTAAATTAGGAACAAAACTATTAGCCGTTTACCTGCTGTTAAGATACAATAAATTGTAGATAGATTTGGGGATTAGATCATAAAATGCAAATGAGCGAACCCTTAGCGATTATCCAATAACTGAATGCCTCAGTGACCGAGACTTTCTAAGAATGTTGAGGGCTACTTAAATTGATTTTCTTTGAAATTGTAAATGTTTTGTACCTGTAGAGATTACGTACTTAGATCATTTCTTGATTAAAATGACTACAAAATTTTATACAAGAATTGAAATAAATTGGTATGTTTAAAAATTTTCAAATACAGTATAAAAATCTGAACTTTTATGCACTTTATGCAAACTTTTATACAAATATGCCAAAATATGAAATATTTGCATAAAATATGCACCATATGCAAAATATGCAATATGCATATTTGCCGAAGTCTAGTAATCAACATTTGTAACGGTCGTACGGTTTTACTAACTTAACCTAAAAACTACTTTTTTGCGAGCTGAGGAGTAGCAAATTAGTTTTTTGTTACCATTTTTTGACTTATGGAGGTCTCCTTTAATTTTCTTAAAAGCTCTTGCAATAATTTTAAGAAAACTAGTTTATTTTGTATTCGGGATACTAATTTATAATGTTTTATTAAAAATTTTTGAAATAAATTATTTGAAATCCTTCTGTAATCTTGCGTATTGTTATTGTCTTCTAGATTATTTTGATGTATGTTGTTACATCTAATTTTAAAATAGATAGATGGATAATAGTTTTTTGGATAAAAGCTTTATTTTAAATTATTTTATAATGTCTTAATGTGTATTTTTTTATTTAGATGATCTTTTACTTTTAAACTTTGTTTATTTATTGAGTGTTGTTATATTTGAAAGATCATCCAGTGGATGGATTGTGATAAAAAATCTTAAAATGTTCAGCACTACCTTCAAATCATATAACTCAAATAATTTTTGAAATTATACTTCTATACGCGCGTTTGACGTTCGAAATTTGTACGGGAGTAAAACGGCAGTATCATTACATATGTAAGATATAGGTAAGAGAGAGAAGATATATTTTCGATCTCTTTTTCTCCCAAGAATAAAAATGCTCCTTTTGTAAATATATTTAATAATATTATTATTATTTTTCCATTCTGTTCAGATTTGTAAAACTTGTACATGAAAGTTCAAATGTGTACTTAGATACATAACAATTAAATTTTGTATCTGTCAATGTCAGACAAATTGTTGTATCAGGAAACAATATTTTTATTTTATTAATATTATTATCATGGTAAATTGTCATTTTTAAATACTTATGAATATTGCATGTTAATTTGTATTATGTATTATTGTAAATAAACAATAAATTTTACTGCAGATTATATGTAAATATGTAAATATTTTTTTTGGATTTAACTCCTTTCCTACATATATGAAAATAAAAATATACATTTTCATCAAAATATTGATTCAAAATTCATTTACTATACTTCTATTACAGGGCAAATATTGTTTATATACAGCAAACGATGCACCATATACATATATACCTAATTCTGTTTCTCTTTCTGCTCTCTCTTACCTACAGCATTACATATCGATGGCTTACCCTGTAAAAAAGCTAACTCCATTTAGGCAAATTTTTCATTATGAACATAAAACCGTTCAGTTGATGAATAATTATACTTACGGTTAATTACTAAATTTTGATTCTTTCTTTTAATGCTTTGTGTTAATAATAATTAATCATAAATAACTTTGTTTGGCCTAAAACTTTTTTTTGTGCCATAAAAGGAGTTAGCTTTTTTACATATTCAGTAAGAAATAGAAAAGAGGAGTTAGTCTGTTTTTTTTATTCTTTTAAAACAAATTAATATACTAAACTAAACTTTACAATAGAACTAAAATTCAGAAGTATCAAGAAAAAAATAAAATATTACAGTATAGAAATTTAGATTAAAAACAAAATGTTTATTTATTAGGTAGATTATTGTAGTAGGAATGATAATAATCAGTTGGGATGAAGATTTTTAGATCTTGAAGATCCTGGAACTTTCTGGTGGTTGATGGCAATCTATCAGAATGAAAGTTCGGCAGATGAGTAAATGATTAGTTATTTTGTCACGCCGTTGGGGAAGTAACTTCCATTTTTCTTTCAAATTTAATCTATAAAATACGTCACCATTTGCCGCATATTTCAGGGCTCTGATTTCATTAAACTTGAGAAGAAAAATTAAAAATGTTTACTACCTTACTGTCAAAGGTGAAGAAAAAAAATTTACCTCGAGGTTCCCCTTTATTTTTCCAGGTCGAATGGATTTAAGAAATTTGATATTATTAAACGACTTAAAGAATGAATGTGCTAAATATTCAACGTAGTATGGTTTTGGATTTTTGCAAGCCCTTCGGCAAATACCAATGTATTCAGCAGGTACATTAATAATTTTATTTCGAAGGTTTTTTTCGATGGAGGCATGCATAGAATCTACCTTCATCTGTGTGTGACCTACTTTAAGGTATTTCTGTTCAACAGCGATGTTTCTGGTCATTACCAAAGCATTTGAGGCCATAACGTTTCAGTTTTAAACTGTAAATCACTACTTTTTGTCTGTGGTGTCCAAGATTTGTGGTAAAACTTCATCTATAAGAAAGTATAAAATGACCGAAGCAAATTCTTTAGCGGAAACTCCACCTTCTGTCTCATTTCATAAAAAGCAGTACGCTTCCCTAGTTTTTAAATCCAATAAACATATATTATGCACATTAAGTTTAGATTTGTAATACAGTGATGATACATTAGGTATACATTTGGTACTGATAGCAGAGCCTGAACATCACCTGCAAATACGTAATTTTCTCATTTTTTATGCTTTTTTTTTTCAGCACGAGCCTGCTCTTTTTTGTTGTGTGTTTCTTGTATTCATCTTCAGATACAAAACCCAATTCATATGACATGCATTTTTCGCAGGCGTCTTTTTAAAGATGAAATAATGATACGTTTTCCATATCTAAAGTGTTATTAAATTTTGCCACCGATACAGGCAGTACGTTGTTTGTAAAATACCAGTCTGAAACATAATAATCATAAAGCGACTGTTTTGATAACCGTATGGGCACGATTCCATGTTGAAGCTACTTTCTAACGGTTGGCGCAACATGGAGTTGGCGCTTTTACCATAGTGGGGGTCTTATGCATGGAGGTAGCTTGTTTTTGGACAGGCTATTTGAAAGGTTTACGATAAAAATTAAGAGTTAGCGGTTTGTGAACTGATATATAGCTGGGTAAAGAAAGCGATACACAAATAAAACGATATTACGAAAAAAGTGGAGTTAGTTTGTTTGCAGATTAAGCCATCGATATGTAATGATTGTGCAGATTGACTCCCATATAAATTTGTAACGGCGAACGCGTGTATAGAAGTATAACTTCTACCAGCAGTTCCACTGGACTGCCACACCCGTTTTTTTTTGTTTTGTATGTATAATACATTTGTATACCTTTTTAGCTGGGCCATTAGGAACAGTGTTTAGTATGCTGATAGCAGGTTACATATCAGCTAGTCGCTTAGGGTGGCCATGGGTGTTCCATTTCTTTAGCATACTTGGTATACTTTGGTGTATATTTTATGCCATTGTTGGGAGAAACACCCCAGCTGAACATCCAACGATAACACAAGAGGAACGAAATTATATAGAAAAGACCGCAAGTTCGTCAATCAAAAGCCGTGTAAGATATTTTCAGATATCGTGGGGAAAGTATTATTGTTGAATATTATTAATTACTTATTACTAATAACTTACTAACTAAATTATTTATAATTTTTAAAGAACATAAAAGTAAACGTATTCTTATTATATTAAGTAAAGGAGAAAGGATAAACAAAATTAAATGGTTTCTATTAAACATTATTTGTTTACGAGTTTTCTGTTTATTGTAGCCCATTAATGGCCAAGCAGTGAAAAACAATAATTTTTTCGATTTTTTTTTAAACTCGTTGAAAATGACTTATCTAAGATATGTTTATGATTTTTTAGCAAAAAACTAACAATAACATCTAAAAAATTAAGGATGGATGTACGCACACTTGACCAATACTGTTATACATAAAACATAATTATTATTTTGTATGAAACAATTCGAAACATTCGGAATGGAGATGAATTTTAGATTTTTTGCATAAACATATAGTATGACTTTTGGATATCCAACATTTGTTTCGTACTTTTGTATTGTGCCTTCAAATCATATGACCAATATTGTCAAATCTTACATCGCCAGGCAAACTGTCTTCAGAGGGACCTCCACAACCCGACTGAGCAGCCACTTCCGTATTTACTATTAAAGCACAACGTTCAAATTTCTTAAGTGATACTGCTAGAAGTGATCGGAATTGTAATTGTGACATTTTACGATTATTTGTAATATTGTAAATCGTCCAGCTATTTACGACTCTGCTATCAAAAAGATTCATAAATAGAGGTTTCTTCCACCATGTCTTCTCTCTTATTCTGATAAAGTAATTAGCAATGCCATTATCGTGCTGAGATTTGAAAATTGAGATCAAGAAAGGGGTACGACAGGGCTGTATCTTGTCTCCAATTCTCTTTAATATATACTCAGAAGAAGTATTTAAGACAGCGCTGGAGGAAAGCACAGAAGGCATAAAGATAAATGGAGAAATAATTAATAACATAAGGTATGCTGATGACACTGTGATTCTAGCAAGTAACGTGGAGGAACTGCATTGCCCAATGAGTAAGATACAAAAAACAAGTGCACAATACGGACTCAGACTAAATATCACAAGAACCAAATGGATGTTAGTAAGCAAAACCCAACAACCATCACAGCAACTGATATTAGACAATGAAAAAATTGAACACTTGGATTCGTACATCTACTTGGAAACAACAGTTAACTCAAATTGGGATCAAGCGAAGGAAATACCTATAAGAGTAGAAAAGGCAAGAGCATCGTTCAGTAGCATGAAGCAAATTTTCACCTCTAAAAGCCTCACCCTACCTCTCAAAATTCGACTTCTGAAATGTTATATTTATTACCGGTTTTGCTATATGGAATGGAGGCGTGGACAATGACCGCAACATTGATGAAAAAAGTAAAGGCCTTCGAAATGTGGGCTTACCGACGTATATTACGTATATCCGGGACTGAGCACGTGACCAACAAAGAGGTACTACGCCGGATAGGTAAAGAGAGAGAGGTAGGAATAAGTATAAAGAAAAGAAAGTTGGAATACTTGGGTCACGTTATGAGACATAATAAATATAGAGTACTACAGCTGATCGTTCAAGGGAAAATAGACAGCAGAAGGGGTCCATGGAGGAGAAGACACTCGTGGCTCCAAAACTTGCGGCAATGGTTCGGATTGCCATCTGCTGAACTATTCAGATCTGCCGTAAACAAAGTCAGAATAGCCATGTTAATTGCCAACGTTCGGAACGGACAAGGCGCATGAAGAAGAAGATTATTGTGCAAATCCACACCACCCATAATTATATTGTATTCAGCTACTACATAAGGCTGAGATACGAGAATGTTTTTGTGGTCTTTCCGACTGTATAATTCTGTTTAAACGAAAGGTAGTAATGTGTAGGTATTTGTTATCACCGCAACAACAGAATTATCATTCCATCTCACGAGTAAAACTTAAGATGCAGTATCAAATGCAGATCGAATGTTCCCCGTGTCGTATATTTAAACGTTTTGCTATTCTGCACTTTTCAGTGCAGATTTTTTTTGTAGTACCTGTGGCAAAAAAGCCTAGATCCTGCAGTGTCGCAAAAAGAGCATAAGAAGAAAAGAAATTTGGTGTATGTCAACTACAGAAAGTAAATCTGAAACTACCTTTGTTTCTAAAATATTACCCGAATCAAAATTATTATGTTGTCTTCCTCCATATGGTATAAATTTGTATAATATCCTGTATGTGAACAAAGACACCATAATTTACATTCAAATCTTACAGGCTTTCCCCAAATGAACATCTTGCATGAATGACGTCCAAAATATGGTACCATTTCCTCGTCTATTGAAAGGTTATGTTCGAATATACAAATTGATAAAATTTTATATTCATTATATGAATGTTAGGAGTAAGTTTGGCAAATTTAGTATCTTTATGTATTTTCACACAAATGAATAGTTTCCTTGATTGATCGAAATTTATTTTTATGTTTTTCCTTACAATGGCTACTTCTTTATCTTCATCTTTCGATCAATACATGTCACATTGTGGCAAAGTATGATAACCCGATAAAATGCAGATGCCGATAACGCATTTCAGTTTCTTCTTCTTAAAGTGCCCTGTCCTCAATGGAGGTTGGCTAATACAATTTTAAACTCTTCTCTAATTTCAGCTGTTCTTATTAGCTGTTTAAAATTTAGCCCTGTCCATTGTTGGATGTTTCTGAGCCACGATAGTCTTTTCCTTTCTAGTACTCTCTTTCCCTCGATTTTTTCTTTCACTATAAGTTGGGCATATTGGTACTTATTGTTTCTCAGTATTTGGCTTAGGTATGATGTTTTTCTAACTTTTACTGTGTTAAAAAGTTTCAGTTTAGCTTCACTCATATCAAATTTGTGACCATTGTTTACTGCTGCATAAGTTTTTGAAAAATGTATAATCTAGCTTGTGACTTTATCATCAAAAAATAATATTAATATTTCGATGGGCGACTTTTCTCCATGGCTGGCTTTGATGTTCTCTAAGAATCGATTGATCACTTTCAGGATGAGTCGAGAATGCTGAAGTGGTGTTTGTTTCCCATTTTGTTAAAATTTTTTATTTATTTCGATTAGTTTTTCGCATTTTATGGCAAAGTTTACTGAGTGGGATATTATTTTGCTCAGAATCACTTACTAACGGAACGTAAATTTTATATGTTCTAGCAATTTCTGCATTAAAATTATGTTCTTAAATGAGGTTATTATCTAGGTCTTCTTCATCAGTAATTTCATCAACATTAGAAGGGGCATATGTATCTTCTTCTTCATCTGCATTTTCTATGTCTGAATCTTATTTAAGATATGCAATTAGTTCCTTAGTAGTGAAAGGTCGTGTTCGAAAATACATCTACTGTGCATTCAAAGGTCCGAATGATCGCTTCTGGCTTTGGCCCAACGACATTCCAGAAGTACTTGGTTGACTCCTATTGAGTGTGATAAAAAAAAACGAATTTCAGGCTAGACAAATAATTTAGAAACAAAAAAAGTTATGTGCAACAAATAAATATTTTTAGTTTTTATTAATAATATTTTGAAGCTATATTATCATAACATATATCTTAGATGGATCAAAAAGTCGATAAAAAATTATTGTCTTCATGATGTTGTCAAACAGTTGAAAAATCGTGTTAGTTTCACAATGCAAGATTTCACAACAGTGTAATATACAACACATATTTAATAAAAAAACAGCTCTTAATGCTAGCAAGAAATAATTCTAAAAGTGTTTCTTAAATTATAGATGCCCACGCCATGGAAGGCCATTTTCACATCAGTGCCCTTCTTGGCTTTGTTTTATTCGTACGCCTGCTTCATTTTTGGATTTTGGGTGCTACTTACACAAATACCAACATACATGAATGAAATTTTAAAGTTTAACTTGAAAAAAGTAAGTGAACATATTAATATATATCTCAGTATTATTTGAGTAGGAAACAATCATAAACAAAAAGCTTTATAGAAGTATAAGAGTGACTGATAATGGAAGGATCTCCTCGTATTTCTATTATCCGTCTACTAAATTTAGTCCACAGAGGTTAAAATCGGTGTGTAAAAATCAAATGAGTGTGTAAGCAAGTGTGTTGTGGAGAATGATGCAAGAAGAATAGGTAATGTTTTTTTTTTTAATAAAGTCTTAATAATAAAGAAACACATAGAGAAAGTCAAATAACTGTCAAAGTCTAAAGACGTATTTCAATGTCTCTCATTCTCTCTTCTTCAGACGACCATAATGTATCTTCTTCTTTTAAAGAAATTTTAAACTGTTTGACTTTGTATAGTGTAGTGTAATGTACAATAATTTTATGTTTATAACATTCTCCAAAAATTTTTGTATATGCCAAAATTGACGAAATGCCCCTGAAAATGTTCTAGAAAGCGAAAGTACTTGGGCAAGATTTGATTAATAAACTGTGCTTCATTTCTGCTTTTTCATTTGATCAAAGTTAATTGACTTTTTTTTTTAAATATGCCTTTTTTAGAACGGCGTTTTGTCGGCCCTTCCATATATATTACAATGGATGACAGGTTTGGTGCTTAGTATTATTTCGGATAAGATGATCATCAGAGGTATTGTTTCGATAGCGATTGCGAGAAAAATGATGAACGCAATTGGTAAGTTTTTTATTTATCAAATGATGTTCCTTCGGAAATCATAATTTTTATTAGTTTTAATTTTCAACACAGTATCTTATTTGTTGGATTTTTTATTTTGTTCTATCTGCTCTCATATTTTAAAAACAGAGGGACTTTAATACATAAATGCTTTGATCAGTTATGCCATAGAACTTCATTAAGGATTTTTATTCTTTTACTTCAGTTCTGTTCTGCTGTAATTTTAACATCTCTTCTAATGGGAATATAAATCCAAAGTTCGTACTTCTCGCCCACTTTTTTAACGATATTCGGTATGTCTTTTAGTTCTTTTATACTTTTCGCTATTAAAGCTGTTTGGTTACTGTATCTTATCATATCTTATCATATCTGACCCCTTGTCAGACTGTGGTGACACTCTTAATATTGTTAGCTTGGCTGTGTTTATTGACTGCGATCCTGTGCTAGATGGACGACTTTATGTAGGAATTTTCCCATCAGATTCTTCATTTGGTCTGCCCATCATGTTGGAAAACTTTCTCACCGATCTTTAGCCTTCTATCTTTCCTTCTATTGCTAATAGTTCCATAGCCCCCTCCTTCTGGTTATAAATCCAAAGTAATTTAGATATGATAGGTTTACCTTTTTTAAATAGCCTGTCAGTTATAATAAGCTCTTTCAGAATCGATAGGTTGGTTTTATGTTGTGTCCAGGACACGGCAAGAGAATTTTTTTTATGGGTATACATTTTAAAGACTTCGATCTTAATGACTCATCCAATTCCCCTCAGGGTTTGGTTTTCGGGTCTCTGTGGTCTTCAGTCTTTTGTAGTTTTCCCATTCATTTTCACAATAACATTTAAACATCACAGATCTTTAGTAAACTTGACAGATCCACCTTAAACACAATTACTCTTACATTTTCACATATTGTCACAATACACTCCATAAGCCTGTTAACTTTTCACCTACCTACACTCTAACTTATAACTCATCCTTTTTATAACTCGAGCAATGTAGGAACAATATCACACCCAACCATCTTTCAGCCATCAATTTTCTTTCAGTCTGGCATATTTGCCCACACACATAAACAACCTACCATCTTTACTTTACACACATAACCAGTAATTCATGTTCACTTACTTATAACTTAAAAATCTATTTTTATTTATCTTTACTAGGTACCAAATGTAGTTTTTTGACATAGAGGGCCTTCCATACTTAAGTTTTAAGTTGAGTACTACATGAACACCACATTATGATCACATTCTTGTCATATTTACATTTCAGCTCAATAACATATCTAAACACACCTCCACCCATTACATCAATACTCAATAATATATATTTTAGGACCCATCTTCCCACATGTGCCTTTTTACCATTTTCTAGGTACCAAATGTCTCACAACATACAGGGCCTTTTGACAAAATCTCTAGCTTAAAACAAATATATCCTTACACATGTATAGTTGGTTGCAATCCTACAAAATTTCATAAATTCTAGTTGACCCACATTAATTTTTAAAAAACCAATTTTCAATGTTACAAATATACCTATCTGATTAATTTACAATACAGATTACAATATTGATGGTTGATACTGTTACATTATTATAATTTTAACTTTTTCAATTTTAAATAAGGCTGACATCTGTCAATTTTAGACAACTACCGTAAGTTACACTGACTGCTCTGACACAACATCCGTCCTAACTTGTCAACAATGTCATTTTGATCAGTTGTTTTCAACAGGTCCTCGTAGACACTTCGTCTCAGGACCATTTTACTCATGTAGAGTCATACGCCGCCATGTTACCTATCCAACGGTAACTTAACCATCACAAATTAGAAATACTAATAATGTAAAACAACTTCAAATTTATAACATTTAAAGGGTTTTTACCCATATATTTTGGTGGCTACTAGCATGTACAACCGTAAGTATTAACCACATTTTGCTCTAACCTTTGTCAACATTTTCATTTAACGTTCTTTTGAATTAAAGTGGTTATATACTTTCAGGTTTGCACTGATGATGGATTGTTTAATCCGAAAACGTTTTGCAATGTGTTTGTGATAGCCCGTTTGAGGCATTTTTATATACCTTTTATAAAGGATTTTAACAAAAAATTACTTCGATCTTACTTCTATAGATTTTTTTAAGAGTCCACATATCAACTGCGTATATAGTAATGAAAAAGAAATAGGGATTGGCCAACCTGCGATATTCCTTGTGATTGTTACAATTGAGTCTTTTAAAATTTTAACAAAATTACTCGTTGTAGTTCGGGCCTAAGAAAAATTAAATTAAAGGAAAATTTACTGAAAATTAAAGGAGAATGTACACCTGGAAATCTTCACAGGATTCTGTTGGATTGTGTGTAAAGGATTATAAGAAATCAGATTGTCTATGTGCTAGTAAATAAGAGGTATAGAAACAGCTGTACGTCTGTCAAAACATATCCGGAATCAGACATCAATTCTGATCATGTACCAGTTTCAGGTAATTTTAAAGTTAGATTAAAGAAGAAGAATTATGGTGATAGAAAACTAAAAGATTCCAATGCTCGACTATAGGTGAGTGGAAACCACCTCAATACAAATGTGCTAAAATGCGGAAATTGAAGAGGCCCTAAAAGATATTGATGAAGGCATCTCTATAAAGGTTAAATAACCTGCTGTATGCAAATGATATAAAAGTGTTTTCCAATACCATGGAAGTGCTGCAAAACCTAATGACCAAAATAACGGAAACAAGTAGAACATATGACTGGATATAAATACCAGCAAAACCAAGCAAATGATCATTAGCAGGGAAAATATAATTGGAGCAAATTTGTATGTAAACTTGTATGTAAACTTGTAAATTTGTATGTTTGTAATAAAATAAATACAAATATATTTTTATGCTTTTAGGTATGTTAATTCCAGCACTGGCTTTAATATTTTTGGGATATTGTTCAAAAGATACCGCCGTCGGAGCAGTTATCTTATTAATGATAGCAGTTGGTGCAAACGGTGCTACTTTTTGTGGAACATTCATCAACAATGTGGATCTTTCTCCGAACTTCGCGGGTGTCTTGTATGGAATCATGAATGGGTGTTCCAATGTTTTTGGTATCTTAGCTCCATTGATAGTCGACGTTATGGTAAAAGATCTGGTAAGTGCAAATTATGTAACCCGTAGTGAGGTGCCATTTTAGTTACATTAAGCGTTATGTGGAGTCCCATAGACTTCTTATTAAAAAATAAAAAAACAAAAGATTTAGGTATTTGAAAAAATTTCACTGAACTAAGTTACAACTGGATGAACTTTATTTGCCCATAGGTATATAAGTATTATATAAAAAAAGTTATTAAAATACCTTTATTTTACAATAGTATTAAAATTTCTTAACACAGCCTCAATAATCTCATTAATTAAAAAAAAGTGTTTATTTTTGAGAAGTTTAGAATAGCTTAAACTTCAAACAATTTATCAAAACACTCAATCGTTTTCCACCCATAACAGTCCTAAAAATCTCTCTTCCGGTTTCATCTGTAGTAACATTGGCGTCAATTATACAGATTGAACCAAATTAAAACGGAACATACAATTTAATACATGTCTGTTTGAACGGCATTTGAAATAGTGGACCAATATAAAACTTGGACAAAAATAAATCCATACCTGGGTATAGACATTGTATAAAATATCGTTCAACTATCTGTCTCACAACAATGTTGTTTGCGAAAGACGGGTTTGTCTAAGGTAGCGATAATAGTTCAGGAAATGAAGCTCGAAAAAAGTTAAAACCTCGCAATTTTTTCGTCCTGCATGTATCCAGTTGAAATTTTAACAGAAGGTAGGTGATAGCCCAAGGATCAAAATCTATATCGAACCGAAGTGCGCTGAAGGGTTTTAGGGGTGAAAACTCCCACTAATTTTTAAAAATTATAAAAGAACATATTAAACCTGAATCTGGGTAAGATTTGGTTTGAATTAGTTAAATAATGATTATTTTATACTTTTGAATAGAGTTCCATCATACTTTAACCCTTAAAAAGCAACCCTTGTTAGAGATTAATGTAAGAAAATTACTAATTCTAAAAAAATTATTTCGCCTTGGATCGATTTGGATAAAAATTTGGATTTAAGCTCAATTCACCCGCTGCTTTATAGTTTCTGTCATGTCGACGAACCCTGATTGTTCTTAGGGGTGAAAACTACCCCTTATTGTCAAAAATTATAAAATAACATATTAAACCTGAATATGGGTAAAATTTGGTTTGAATTAATTAAATTATGATAGTTTCGTGCTTTTGACTAAAGTTCCATCATAGTTTAACCCTTAAAAAGCGACCCTTATTAGAGATTAATATAAAAAAATTAGTAATGCGAAGAAAATGATTTCATCTTGGAACGATTTGCATAAAAATTTGGAATTAATCTCAACTCACCCTCTAGTTTATAGTTTATGTCATGCCGATGAACCCTGATTGTTCTTAGGGGTGAAAACTACCCCTAATTTTCAAAAATTGTAAAATAATATTACAAATCTTAAGATGAGTGAAATTTGGTTTGGATTAGTTAAATAGTGATTTTGCAACTTTTCAATTTTTGAAAATCTCCCTTTACAACATTGCAGTTTTTATAAACTAATTTATAAGATATAAATTGAAAAAAGTAGAATTAAATACAAAAAAATTTATCAACATAAAAAGGCACCATATATTCTTATACATTTACATAAATATTTGAAAATATTTACATTTATAGGTAAAACAATTATAATATTAATTTTATTCGTCATCAATTACATCTTTATCGTGATCTATGTCATCCTCATCTTCTTCAATTATTGGTGGACTGTTATTGCACCCTTCACCTGAGCACCCAGAACAAGTAGAGTTACACTATAAACCAACTTTTCTGCATCCACATGAAACGTCGCATCCTTTTTTGCATTGGCAAAAAATAAGTTCATCGGGTGCAGGTTGTTTGTTCATGCGTACGGGTAATACCAAACCATCTTTGGAATACCATCCCCAATCTGTTGCTCTGATATTTTCATTGCCAAGCCATAGACATATGAGCAGATGTTTTATTCTGTTATATGGAATTTCAAAATAAGAACGCTTAAAATTTCGAATGTAACGCCCCACTAGCTAATATACCGGTTTTGTAGATTATTATGCTCCGAAATGTACTGTGATATACTAATGGAATTTTCCAGAAAAAAATTTACTGGTTTTTTTAACATTTTTCCTTTAATTTTCAACGATATAGTGTGTCTTCAAAAACAATTTGTAGAGGTTTTTAAGAGCTACACGGATCTGTGAATTAAATCTTTTTGGAACCCTTGGTTTTTAAATGGGGTGAGTTTAAAGGGCTCGAAAAAGATGGTGCTTGATCGTAAATCGATGCTTTAAACTTCTATATCTCGCCAAATATTCATTGTACAACAAATCTAAATAAAGGATAATTTTAGTCATTAAAAAAGCTACTATTTGGTAATTTTTATTTTTTTCATATATTCAGTATTTTCGGGCATATTTAAAAAAGAACGGTAAAAAATATGAAATTGTAAATCGTTTATCGCTTTAAGCTGTACTTTTTCTAAAACTAAGCATTTTAAATGGGCCAAACTTCTTGGACGTATTAACAATACATGTACAAAGGGAATTGCAGAAGAATGAAGATCGATTTTAATTATGGGGGTGGTTAGGGGGTTGTTTTCATCAATTTTTTCGTAAAAAATGAGGTATTGACTTTATTTTCATCATAACTCACTTAATTTTTGAGCTAGAGTCTTTTTTTATGATAGGTCTATTTATGCTTTTTAAAAAAGGTTTTGTGAGTTTTCTTCCAAAAGTGCATCATTTTCCCGATATTTGACTTTGAATCTTTAAAATTTGGCATTTGAAGAAAACCGCTGAACATTGATAGGCCGTATTTCGGTTCCTATTATATCGCAAAAACATTTTAAAAAATGAATTGTATTTTTTTTTTTAAAGGCTCAAATTTATTTTCTATAATTTTTTTGATAAAATGCACCATTTTCGAGTTATTCGCGAAAAATCGATTAAAAACGTGGATTTTTTTGTCTAAAAGTTGTAACTTTCAATCGCGAATAACTTGAAAAATATCATTTTATAAAAAAAATGTATAGTACATTTTTTGTTTAGAATCACTTTTTTAATCGAAACCTGTAGTTAAAACGTAAAAAAAAATTTCACCCCGGAGATGGGGTGGCAACCACCCCCTGGGCTTTGGCGCACTTTGGTCCGATATAGATTTTGATCCTTAGGCTATTACCTACCTTCTGTTAAATTTCAAGTCAATCCACGCAGCACGTAAAAATTGCGAGGTGAAATGCTTCATTTCCTGGACTATAACTGGTTTGACAGCATAATAAAATCGTAGATTTATGTGTAGCTTTCAATTTTTATGAGTTCAGAATCCAGCAGCCCGCTGAAGTATTGGATTTTTATAATATAATTATTTGACAATCTTTTGTTGGCCAACCAGCTACAGCAGAATTGAGCCGAAATACATTATATTCCTATGTTCCGAATTTATTTCGTTCAATCTGTATATTGGTAGGCCCATCATAGTTCCTATTTCAGTACTATTCGTATATTTTAAATGTGTCTGTACAGCAAACCTTGTTCGAATTTCTGCATCGTAGTATTTATCATAGCTTCAAATATGAGAAGGTTTCGTATATCTTTTAAAGTGGCTTCATCTCCTAGAGCATGAGCAGGATCATTTAATCCCGACCAGATTATGTTTTAGAATTCGCACATTCTCTACAGTTTCATTCACCGCCCACTTTTGTCGATCTTTTCCATAATAGTACTTTTTCAAATTATATACTTACTCTCTTGGTCTAATTCTTCATCAATATTTTCATCATTGGAAAAACATTGTTCATTATCATCGCTTTCACTTGAAGGGCGATATTCATGTTCTTTTTGGATATCTAACCCATCTTATATATCAGACAAGTCAGATTCTTCCTCATTATACCATTCAAAACAGTTTTTTTTTTAATTATTGTTTAATGAATTAACTTTTTTTGATGTACAAGGAACCAAATCCATCTAAACTAACAGGATTTACAAAAAAGCTTTAATTTTATAACAATTACAGAACTTACCCCAATGGTGAGGTGGAGTCATTGAAACTAATTTCTAATTTAAACGTGTTCACAGTTCCCTAGCTGAACACCCACTGAATACCAATTAGGTACTACCAAAAGTGACTTGAAGGTATATTAGCGCGCACAAGATTCAAGGTCACCGGAAAAAAGTTACAACAACTTTTAAAGTCCTAGAAGTCTGAGTAACTCCATCTCATCCCTCGTGGTTTTTAATTTGATTTGTCTAGGTATTTTTAATTTCCCTAACTTTATCTGTTAAACTTACTACTTTTCTATTACCCTTCTATTTCATGACCCCAATCTGATATTCAAAATTATACCCTTTAATTAAAATATATTTCCTTATACTTTTTTAGTACAATCCAAAGCAATGGAGGAATGTTTTTTATCTGGCAAGTGCAGTTTATGCATCAGGAGCTGCAGTATTTTGGATATTTGGATCTGGAGAAGTCCAGCCTTGGAATGAAAAAAGGATTAAAATAGGTACTTATGCAACTAATATAGATAATCAATAATCACCTTCATTGTGGTGGACATTTACATATATATTTGTATCATTCTATCTAACCATTTAAAGAATTTTGTGTATTTTTTACTCTATCTCTAGCTATCTATACAGCCCTAAACATCCATCCTTGAATATAGGCCTCTTCCTCCTTCTTCCATGCCTCTCTCTCTTGGGCAATTTGCAAATACATTAATTAATGTATTTTTACTTTTCAGATCCAGATGCTATTTCGAACGTAAGCAGTATTTACTAAACCACTTGTAATTTATTCGTTTTAGAATACTAATAAATATATAATCAGTAATAAAGATATTTTAAACACCGTTTCTTTCTAAGAATCATTTTCATTATAAGAAATACTCACGTGCCTTCTCATTGGATGAAATAAACAAAGCGCTTAACCAAACTAAAACAGGAAAAACAACTACAACAGGAAAAAGGAAACAACTAAAAAGATAAAGAAATGAAAATATCTCATGCAGTAAAACACATACCGTGTAAAAACACTGATGCAATTTAAAAAAAAATGTGTGGACAGAAAATTACTGTAGAAAGAATAAAGCTTTTAAATAAAAAGTTTTGAAAAATGGCGTGCGCTAAACGTTTTCATTTTAACGAAGCATTTCATTTTGACAACAAAGGTTTCAAAAGCATTTCATTTTGACATCATGTAATAAGGTTGATGTTAAACGAAGAAAAAATAAAAACAATAAACTAAAAAGGCGATTACTATATTTTTAATACAAACTAAAAGATTGCTCTGACATTAATCAAGAGGTATGTAAGAGTTTTTTCTCACCACATTAGGCTTTAAGAAAAATAATGACAGGGTTCTGTATTACACACTCACAAATACTCCTAAAGGTGCTTTAACTTCACCTAGTGATAAGAGAGGAAGAAAGCCATCAAAAAATAACGGATCTTAAGGCTAAAATACACCATTCAATTCGGTTGAACAATGTGGATGATTCAACCAAAATGAACCATGTACACCCATACCTCGCTATACGGCCGCTCTTTATACGGCATTTCGCTATTACGGCCCTTTTCAATTACGGCACGGTTTCGATTTACGGCCTAAACTGTTTCGCTATAACGGCTTTATTTTGCAATTCTTGCGCAAACGCAATTTTAATGCACACTCTTTCCTATTTCCACTTCCATTTGTTTACGACTGTTATTCAGTTTTCAGTGAACAGTCTCGGCATCTCAGATCTCAGTCTGTAGTCTGAGTCTGTACTCTGTGCTCATAAAGCGGCTGGTTTAGACTTGTCTGTGAGTGTTTTATTTACATATTTTATTACCGACTATTACACTTTAACTGGAAACATTGGAAACAATTAGGGGAATTTTTGGAAAGTAAGTATATAATTTATGTAAAGCTGCGGCCATTCAATTAATTAAACCCTTACATATCTACAATAGTAACCGATTTTTAAATTTTTAAACGCACATTTTACGTCAAACTGAAGCTACCAGTGACGGGCCCAGAATAGGTTGGTTAAAATTTAAAAAATCAAAATACATAAATCTATTGTAAAAAATAAAACAAAATGGAAATTATAGAAACAAGTTTTTTTTGATAACATGTATTATGTTATTAATAACGAAAATAAGAAAGTCTGGGTTAAAAATATCCATTTTATATTAAATAATGATAAACAGTAACACAATTAACATTGTATTATCCAATACGCGCGAAATTTTTGACATGTATATTGACATTTATCAATTCCGTACAACACTGCGATTTTTAATATCTATGTTTTTTTTTAACTGATTTGATAATTTCATTATTTTTTAGACAAAATGCCACCGAAACGATTATCGACTTCAGAGACTGTTAAAAAGAGATGCCGAAAATCGGTCACGCTAGGAACTAAACTAGAAGTATTACGTCGTACAGAAGCTGGAGAGAAAATTTTTAAAATTTGTAAGGCAATGGGACTTGCGAAATCTACCATTCAAACTATTCGCGATAAAAAAGAAGACATTTAAGCACATTTGCAGTCGGCTGCACCTTTAAATATCTCGAGATTAACACGACAAAGAAACTGGATTGTGGAAAAAATTGAAAAACTATTGATTATATGGATTGAGGACAATAACAAACGGAGAATTCCAATGAGTCAAATGACTATCCAGGAAAAAGCTTTAACTATTTTCGAAAATTTGAAGAATGGAGATACCGATAAAACTGCTGAAGATATCTCATTTCAAGCAAGCCGAGGATGGTTTGAAAAATTTAAAAATAGATTTAATTTGCACAATTTGAAAATAAAAGGTGAAGAAGCTAGCGCCGATGAGGCAGCATCTAAGGAATATCCCAACATTTAAAAAAAAATTATTGAAAGAGGTGGTTATAAACCTGAACAAGTGTTTAATGTAGATGAAACAGGACTTTATTGGAAGCGAATGCCTGATCGTACGTACATTTCAAAAACCGAAAAATGTGCGCCTGGTTATAAAGTGTCTAAAGAACAATTAACTTTGCTAATTGGTGCAAATGCCGCTGGTGATTTTAAGCTAAAACCACTTTTAATCTATTTGTCCGAAAATCCAAGGCCTTTTAAAGGACTAAATAAAAATCAATGACCCGTTATATGGAGATCCAATAAGAAAGCTTGGATGACTAAAGCTACTTTTGAGGATTGGTTCAAAAATCACTTTTGTACAGAAGTAAAAAAATATTTCCGAGACAATAAATAACTTAAGCAACAAGGCTTTGCTAATTTTGGATAATGCACCAGGGCATCCTACTAATTTATCTGAACTATCGCAAGATGTCCGGATTGAGTATCTTAGGAAAAATACAACCGCTTTGATCCAACCAATGGATCAGGGTGCAATAGCCACTTTTAAGGCATATTACCTACTCCGAACTTTCCGACAACTTATAAAGGAAACCGATGGTAAATCTTCAATTCAAGCATTTTGAAAAAATTATAACATCAAGGATGCTGTTGATATCATCAGTGAATCATGGAAAGAATTAAAATTAACAACAATGAACAATGTTTCGAAAAAAATATGGCCAGAGTGTGTAAAAAATACCGATTAAGAAATTAATATCCTTCCCGAAATTAGGCAAAACATTTTGGATCTAGCACATGACCTCGGCTTTGAAGGTGTGAACGAAGGTGACGTTCTTGACATACTTTTACGACAGAGATTTGCACGGTAACATTTCTTCATCGTCATCAAATTAAAGCCCATTTTAAAGAAAATTTGTATATACGCACATGTTTTATGTAACGTGGAGTTGTTTCACTTTTGTTTATAGATTATTATTAGTTTATGGAATCTATTACATGTTATGTTATGTACCAATGTATGTGCTATTTTGCATGTATTTTTGATTTAAATAAAATAAAAAGATAAAATGCATTTTTAGCGATAAACCATATCACATATTTAACAAATTTTTAACCGATCCCATTGATTTTCTATGAATTTGTATTAGAATAATTGATTCGTTATACGGCTTTTCGCTTTACGGCCAAGTATTGGTGTATTTTGCATTTCAATAAAAGCGTTCAACAAAATTGAACGTTGAAATGAGTTAAGATAATTTTTACTTTCGTTCAACTTCGTTGTACAACTGGGATGATTCATCCACATTGAATCGTCTTTACAAGTTTTGTCGATTGTGTTCAATTCAACCGTTTATTTCATCGAGAATCTTTTCATTTTGACTTGTGATATAATAAGTTTCGTACGTACGTTTCGAATCATCCACATTGCTCAACCGAATTGAATGAGGAATAAATTGAAGCGTGTATATGTATGTTTTTCAATTTGATTGATCAATGTAATTGAATCATCCACATTGTTCAACAGAATTGAATGGTGTATTTACATACACCACATAATCATTGAACACATCGAATCATTTCATTGCACGATTTCCCCTTGCAGACTGGAGAATGCTTCAAATGTGCAGTCTTTTCTAGGTGATGTTAATGTAGCACTTATGCACATTGAATTCGTCAAAAAGCTTTCCGAGTTTAAAGGGAAAGTATCATTAGATGTATACAGGCGAGTCAGCAAGCAACAACATATATCATTTGCAAAAAATGCAAAAATTATATATGAGGAGCAGACTTTCAAATCGCACTTTGTCCATATTTTCACTTTTTGACTTAGAGGTGGCGTTGGATTAGTCAAAACATCATTTATTAATTTACATACTCCTAGATATTCTAAACGTAATATTTCACGTATATTTTTGGCTTCAAAAATCACTTAGACAAACAAAACGCATTTTGTCCAGTAGCGAGAGACAAACAAATAGCGCTATTTTGCTTGCATTGCTTTTTTACTATTTAACGACTTTATTTTGCTCTGAGACGTTGATTTAGGAATCAACAGTATTCGTGCTTAATAGGTTGTTTTTATAATAATAATAGGTGATAATAGTATTAAAATGAGTGAAGGTGAGCATATTGTAGGTGATACAAATAGAGGAACGATAAAAAGAAAAATAAATACTACGGCAAAAGAACGTAAGAGAGAAATAAGGTAAACTACACTTTATGTTGAGTTTTTGTGGTTTAATTTGTTTTCTTTTAGATATTCAGATTTAGATCCGGAGTTATTGAATTTTAAAAATAATTGTGTTCACAAATCAAAAAAATTTGCATGTACAGATCTTTTGTTGGCCGACATAAAAATTATTAGACAAAATTTTTATGATAATGAAGAAAAGAACAAAAATGCTCAGGATAACAAATTAGCACAGATGATGAATATTAAGGAAATAAAAAGGCAAAGGAAGAGAAAGAATGGTAAATCACATGATTTTCACACAGAATTTTATGTAAGTTTTTATTTAAATAAACCAAGCTTTAGCATCAGTACATATTTATTTTTCGATTACACTTTGTAAGGTCTCTGATTGAGTATTTTTTAGGTTTGGCATAATAGCAAGAAAATCTTTGTTTGCCAAAAATTATTTTCCTCTATTTTTAATTGTGGTCCAAGAAGAATTCATACGATATTGAGAAAAAAGATGCTTGGCACTAGTATAAAAGACAATAGTGGTGGAGACAGAAACTCCAAGAAAAATGCGCTTAAATTAGAAAGTGTCATGAAATTTATTTAGTCTTTGAATGGCCATGAAAGCTACTATGGTAGAGGCAAGTCAAGAAAAATCTATTTGTCATCTGAGTTAAACATAAAAAAGCTGTGGGAGATGTATAATAATCAGATTCCAGATAATTCACGTTTTTTATTTTTTACCAAGTGGCCCGTATGTTTTAGCCTTTGGAAGTCCAGCTACTGATGTTTGTGGCTTTTGCATAA